GTCATCAATTTAAATTCAATTTCAACTTGGGTGGCTAGGTCTCATTACGCAGGTTCAATTAATGTCTGATTACACGGAATAAATAACTATTACAGCATTGTTACATCGTTAAACACGCTATCGCATGTTAAATGCTGCGCAGGACGTGATGAAATGGATAAATATTCTAAACGGGATGCGTTTATGATTCCAAACAAGAATATAAATTGATGGAACTCCTCACTGCTCGATAACTAAACTATCAAAATTTACATTAGAATTTGAATTACATGAATCGTTTACTCATGAAATTCAGTAAAGACTGGATCGAAACAACACGGGAGTTACAAAAATCTCATTGGGCTGTTATTGATTAAGACTTGACTAGGATCACTTTACCGGCCACCATGCAGATAGACTACACTATCCATGCGCCGCGTCCCGTTGCCGTGGTAACACTGACCTTCACCAGAACTCGTCAAGCAGCAGCAATTAGCGACGATAAGCTGAGAATATTCATAGCTCGCTACATAGCAAACTCACAGTAGCTGTTCCTAACCCACACGTGATCTATTCCTTGCAGTGCGCCAACACCGGGGTGGGTGTGCCAAACAAAACACAATGTTTTCTTCGCACGTGACAGTGATCAGTTATAAACTTATATACTTTTAAAACTACGTAAATATAATTACATATGTGAGCATGACCTTCACGAGTTAGTAAAGAAAGTGGATTTATCAGTGAAGACATTTGAACGTAACTCGGCGTCCTTCTGACACTTCATCTGGTACCTGATGATTCACTGTGTATATGCTCGCACCTCTACCTCAAGCACACACCGCCTCTATACGTGATCGGAAAGCAACGAATCATTATTGTTAACCCAATACTGCTTAACTGTCCACGTGCACATGCAGGCACACCAGCATCTAATGTAATCACGAATAATGAGGGGTTAATGTATAGTAACCGTGATGTGTATACACGCACGCCCACGCATACGCACGCACACACGCACACGCACGCACGCGCGCACACACGTCAACATACCGCCAGCTATATCCAGCCATGTTTGCTGATAGGCAATCTTATATTAGGGACCACATTAATTTCTTAATCAACGTTTGAGATTCTGCCAATATGAATTTGCAACGACGCAATTATTATCTCTGAAATTCCACAACACTGATGAACTTAGTTTTAATTACATGTTTGCAGTTTAATTACCAGTTTGTAGGGAATACTTCAGGGAGCCTGCAACTCAATATTTACCTTCCGGTAAAAGCGGCGCTCGACTTTCATTGAGGCACTGCTAACTGGAACGCATTCATACTTTTTTTATTGGGCCTCAAAATTATTGGACGAATTCAAATGAAATGGCACACAGGGAAGCTTTCAACGCTTTAAGGGGTTCCGACCTGACTGGCAAATTCACCAAACGCAAACTCTTCGATGGCGATACGAAGATATGATTGAATTATAATTGACTTCCTGCCCGCAACTATTACTTCAATAGCACTGTAGCATCGGTTTCTGCGACTAATAGCATAGCAGGGGTATCTGTAAGAAGGAAGCAACGGTTGCTGTAACAACAGGGCAGTGCCAGCTCATGTAATGGCAGTGTAGCAACAGTTTCTGTTATGAGAGGGTAGTCGCAGTTGCTCTAATAGCAAGTTAGCAGCGCAATCTAATTAAACTAATTATACCTTGAATGTTTGAAAAGTTTCAAGCACTTAGCAAGTAGTTTCGGTGATAGCTTCTGTCTGCAGCAATATAACATCATAACAATCGCGCGCATCTTTCAATCGCAGTGATTAGACCCTACGGCAGCTTTTAATTATCTCTGGTCCATTTCGTGAGTGGTGGGTTTGTAATTATCGCAGCAGACGCAGCCAAATTAAAGATCATTGAATTCACTTAAGTGTGTGTGCCAATTGAGGAAATTTCACGAAAGATTCGCTTTACACGTTCAATCGTTTCAACTTTGTAAACCCTCAGTAATAAATGATAGGTAGCTTACATGGCACAGTAATAGCACTAAGATGTGGATGGAGGAAGAGAGGACGTGAAGCGGGAGAAAAACGGAGGGAATTCATCGCTAGTCTAAATACTTCTAGCGAGAAATCAATTACTGTAAGCAACAAATGCATCGCTTTTATGTCGCTCTGAATTAGATTTACTTCTCAGAAACTATTGAACTTATCTAATACGAAACCAAATTTGCTCACGCAATCTTGCGTTTTTCATTATTCGAGAGATAATAACATTGATAGCGAACGAACTGTGGCTTATTTAATAGCCAAGCGATGGGGTCCTGCAATAAGTCAGTTCGTAGTTAGCCAAGGGGTTGTGTGACATCACAGGTTACCGGGTCATTTGTTACAAAAATCGATGAAATCTCGAGTGCGGCGTGCGCACACACGCACCTGTACGTACACACGCACGCACGTGAACGTGCACACGCACGCACACGTACATACGCATGCACGCACGCGTACGTGCACATGCACGCACTCACACGTGCACACGCACGCACGCACGTGTACGTGCACACATACGCACGCACGTACGAAGGTGTACGTGCACACGCACGCACGCAAGTGTACGTGCACACGCGAAGACTGTAGCATTACAACGACACAGATGCATGTGTATGTGTACTGTACGGTCGAAATACAAAATATTTTTGTCACAAATGACATGACCCGGAAGAATTCGTGGTCGTGGAAGTTCGTGCTTGCGCAGACTGTAACTACGAACTGGCTTACTGGATATTCGATATCCGAAAGAAGGTCTAGAGCAGTAGGAGTGTAACGATGCATTGGCAGCAACGTAAAACATTGAAACTATATATATATCGCCGATGGTTCACTGGACAATAGTTTTCAGTAGTTGCAACATTAATAAAAATGGGTAGTTTATCGCCGCCACTAAAGATGTGCTTTTTGTATGTGAATATGCTCAAAAACCATTACCGATTCTAGGCCACTCGATATACCACTACTAGATCAGCAATAGCATTTAGCTATCGCAATAGTGAAACTGCAGTTTGATCCGGCACACAGACCACATCACAACGTTTAGCTTGACTAGTAATCGATTAGAAAGTGAAAAGCGATCTTACTACTAACGGCTGTTTTAAATTGGCTTTCATCGCTCCTATTTTATGTCTGTGCTTGCCATTCATAATTATTGCTTTCACATTTTGCCATAAAAAATGCTCGAATTTTTAATAAGATTATTTTTAATGTTTACTTTTTCATCCGATTATTTTAATTAGGGCGTTTATCAAATTAAATAACATTATGGGGGGATGGGAACCCGCAATTCACTGAATAATACTTTCATCGTGGATAAGCTACACCAAAATTACCTCAAGATGATGTTCCCTTTACCTCATAACAGGCGTTTTTCTTGCAAACATTCTACCTCTTTTTTCCTATCTGAGGAGCACATATAAAATGACTCCCAGTGTATAATTGGTTAGCCGCATTAATTACCATATAAATTAGAATATTAAACACCCAAGCAAGATAATAATCTGCACGGGTCGATTTCACGAAGTGTGATTAACTTTAATTATGATTAAAGAAACAGTAGCCTCTAGGTTCTAGGGTTATTTTAAGCTAATTTAGG